TGGTAAATATAAAGCATGCACAATTATGCAAAAAATAAGCAAGTGTTACATCAAACAATGCATAAACACAATACATCATTTGAGGTTTTATCTTCTGGTTCAGTCTTCATCAGCTACGGTGCCAAATCGGAGATCAGCCTGGTACAAGTGTCTTTGAGTCACGACCTGACTCACGTGGCTTCACGATCTGAAAGTCAGCTTGGCAAAGTAGTTCATCAGCTGGGTGGGCCCGGTGTGCAAGTCCCATGGGCCAATAGTTCTGGTATGCGTTCTTGTCTCCAAGTGAGACAAGGTCTTCTTTCTGTAAAGGAAACTGGAACCAAATCTGGAACAGAAAAACTGGAACCCAAAGTTTCTCAGGAACAAAGGGAACTGGATTCACAGGATACTCAGGAACTGAAGAACCTGGAAAAAGAGGAACAGCTGGATCTGGAAACATAGGAACAGCCGGATCTGGAAATACAGGAGCATCTGGGTCTGGAAACACAGGAACAGCTGGGTCTGGAAACACAGGAACAGCTGGATCTGGAAACACAGGAACAGCTGGATACTCAGGATCAGGAACAATAGCAGCTGCAGAAGACTCAGGATACTCAGGAACCGAGGTATCTGGAACCACCGATGGAGTATTGAGGATGGCTGCTACTGTTGTCATCAGGGTAGTGAGGACTTCATGTGTGGGGGTGTGTGTCTTTAACGACATAGAGTCCATGATTTCGCGGGGTGCACCAATCATGTGCCCCCACACTTCGCCTATGCGTGCTTTGGCCGTCAGGCATTTGTCAATCACTGGGTCATGGCGAACGTCTTCAATAGTCTTTAAGTCCTTGCAGACTCCTATAAAGTTCATTCTTGGGATGCTAAGACATGTGATCAAGATGATCAGAACTATGCCTAATCTCAGGTGCTTCCGCTTAGTCAAGTGTTTGTAGCGGATTGGTTGACGTTTACTGGATGCCTGAAGTTGAAGGTTGGCGCGTTGAGCCGTTTGTCTATTTGAACAGACCAAGAACTCAGGACTTTCGAGCCAGGTCAATTCTGTTAACTGTGTGGCAAGGTTGGGCCACTTCACTTGGTTGTTGTCTGTTGGCACATGTTGCCATTGTTCAGGGCTCAAAGATGTTTCAACACTCTTCATTCTATTGCCATCGCCTGCAATTCCTTCTTCTTCAGCTGTTCTGCTTGTGCCACGCGAAAAACAGCTTCAGCAGCGTTAGCATCTCTGATGGCTTGCTCATCTTGTGAAATTCGGGAAGTTCGGCTGAGGCGAGAAGATGCTTTCGAATTGCGGGAGGCACCTGTGAGGTGAGATTGTTGAGACACGCTGGAGTGTGCCTTGGATATGTGGCGAAAGGATGATGCCCTTCCAGACGCGTGGGATGGAGCCACGTGCGACCGGTGGGATGGTGCGTGTGAATGGCGGGAAACTTCAGACTCTGCCCTGTCAACCGGTCTGTCTCTCGGGCGAGGCTCGCATTCTGGAGGGCGTTGTGGGCTCTCTAGAAGCTTCTTGCGTTCCTTGTTCCGTAACCGAAGACTTTGCATGTCGCGGTCGACGTCTGAGTCTCTTAATTGCTGCTGAATGTCCTTGAGTTGCCGTTCGGAGTCCATCCATTGTGTGAAGGCGTCCTCCTTATCTTCTTCCAGTGCGTGAGCATGTTCGGGGGAGGGATCCTCCTTTTGCTCTAGGTAGAGTTTGTGCCATTTCTCCCAGCCTCTTTCATGGCGCTTGTGCACGGTGTGCCATTTCTCCAACAGGTTTGCATACTTGGCTTCAGTTGGCTTTCTTTGTTGTCTCAGATCATAGTGACTTTGAGACGTCTTTGGTCTTACTGAGGCTTGAGCTTCAGCTTCTGTGTGCAGGTCAAGGGTGGGTGTTTGCGGCGCTTCTCCTTGGCCGTCTGGTTGGGGTGTCTCAACTAGGCTGGTTGGTTGAACCCCTTCATCTAGATCAATGAGCCGCTCTGCCATGGTTAGGATGGGTTCAGTGATCTTCTCAGCTATTTTTAAGCAAATTTGAAGAACTTCTCTCTTTGACCACTAGGGGTCGCTACTTGCCGATCAGCGTCAGAGGTGCTGTGTGTGGGTGGAGGTGCCTGGGGGCGTTCTCCTGTGTTTCCTAGCTATTTAGAAGCAAATTGGATGAACTTCACTTTTTGACCACTAGGGGTCGCTATCTGCGTATCAGCTACCGGGGTGATCTTCTTTCAAGGAACACCCTTTGTCCACTAGAGGGCTTTCTCTGGGCGTGATTAAAGGCTCGCGTGCAGCTCCTCCTTTAACCACTAGGGGACGTCTGAAGAGAGGTCAGCCAAATTCTTCCTATTACCACGTACCTGCAGGGCCACTGAGAGGCATGAACTCCCACCTGGATGTTAAGTTGCAGGCTGGAACACACTGGGCATTCAGCTTGTGATAATAGGCAAGGATTGATGGCTATGTGTCCTTCTTCTGTGACACTCAAAACTGGGTGAAAGCTCTAGTGGTGGTATAGTCTTGATTGAATTAAATTATCAAATTGTTGTGATGTGAAAGGAATAGGAGACAAAAAAATTTTTTTTTCAAGGTGTCATGTGCAGATTGGCCACCAGGGGGCGCTGCTGCCCTGCTAGTGGGCCTTTATATGGCTTCTTTCTAATGGCATAGCTGAAATTCCAAAGGGAGGGGGGAGTTTGGCTTTATGACGGAGAGAGAGAGAGCAACTTAATTGCTTAATTGCCTTCTTCCTTGACGACCAGGAATGTGCCCTGCTTTTGCCGAGGGAGCAAATGGTCACAATGATCGTGCCGGGGCCAGAAAGGAGGGGGAGAATCACCCTTTCCAAGCATCAAACAAAGGCAACAATTTTTCTAAGTTTAGCAAGTTGCATTCACGTGCTAACGAGGCTGACTGAAGCAGTAACAACACCACTGGCTCCTTCGCTAACATGCAAGCTGAGTTGGGTTCACAGATGATCTTTGAAGCTATCCCTTCATTGCCTCAGGACGTTTAAGCTGCTGGCAAAGGAAGAGGGAAGGGGGGTTTTTATGGCAACTGCTTTCCTCTCCTGAACGGAGATCCATGCAAGGCTTAATGGCTTGCAGAGTTTACCAGCAAATTAACAATACAATGCATTTGAATCACACCTTCTTTGAAACGCTGTCTGCCAAGCAGATACAGTGACATTTCTTTTGCAGGCAGTCCTTGGAAACTTGAGTTACTTTCACATGCAAGAGAGACTTTTCNTTTAACAGATAGATAACTCAGAAGAACACACAGGTTTATTGCTTTTATTCTGGGAATCCTAGACAAAGACTTACAGTTTGTAGAGGTACATCCAAAATAAGTGGTAGCAATCTGTCTGTCCCACAGGTAAATTGACATTAGATTTTCCCCTCTTCTCCCAAGCGTCACATGGTGGGGTGATCGTGGAGTCTGCAGCCGTATGGCTGCATGAGATGGTCAAAGAACAAAAGACTGCCCTCAGGCTAGTGTCCAGGGATGCCTTGAAGCTCCGCCCCTGACCCTAACCCCTCCCCTTGACCTGTTACATAGGAATACATAGAGTTATACAAGATACATAGAGTTATACAAGGTTAAATGGATCTATGATCCAGAACATGTACTCAGAACTGTCCAGATGTTTTTCTCTCCTGTGACAGAAAGGCATTCTTGCCCAAACTCCACCCTTGGACTTTGCATTACACCAATACAAAACAGGACATGTTGATGAAAGCCTGGAGAGAGGAAAAACTAACTCCAACCTGGGAAGTACCTTACATCGTCTTGTTAACCACTGAGACAGCTATCCGGACAGCTGAAAAAGGTTGGACCCATTACTCTTGAGTAAAAGGGCCCGTGCCAGCCCCAGAGGAGTGGAAGGTGGAATCTCACCAAGGAGATCCACTGAAGCTAAAGTTTCGAAGGACTTCATGGACTAATAGTCAATCTTCCTGACAGAAAGGGGGGTAATAGAGGAAAAAGGACTAAACTTTATATTTCTTTTTCTATCTAGAACCAAAGGAAAACCAAGACCTCCCACATGTGCTGACTTTGTGGGTATCTTTGTGGGTGTTGTTGCTGCTCTCACTGTATTAATTGTGTTCAGTGCACAGGGTGTGAGATAGAGTGTGATATTAAGTCTTAGTGTCAGAATCCAAATATATTCCATCTCTAGTTATCAACTATGAAAAACCGCATTTCTGCCTGCTCTGGATTCTGTCATATGATGAAGGGAAGGGGGTGAACAAAGGGGCTTTATGGCCCTCACTTCCTTCAGCCTACTTCAAAGGGACTGGATGTGGATATCACCAAAAGGACTAACAATAACAATGGGGGTCATTAGCTTTCATGTAATCCTTTCTGAAGTCTCCTCCCGGCAGTGAGGAAAAGGGGGTGAGAATGTAATGCCTGGGATTGTCGCTGG